CACACACACACACACACACACACACACACACACACACACACGCCTTTACATCCTTAAATCCATCTCTTCAGTTAACTAATGACTGACACATCACTAGCTCGTTAACATCTTACTGTAACTGTCTAACTGATCTCAGCTGGTGGATTCGATAACAGTGGGAAGACCCATAAAGAATCGACTCGGTGCCCATGCATGTCATTCTTTTTTAAGTGTACCTGCCTCCCAGACTGTCGTATCACTCTGTACTCTGTACTATCTTCTTGCCATCTTTGCATCTATACAGTTTATTTTATCGTTTGCCGGTGTGGCTGAACATTGTTTGTATGTTTGTACATACTTCTCATTTTTCTTTTCTCCTCTTTGGACTTGGAGCACCAATGTCGTGTTAGACTTTATATCACCACAGTTTTTTTTTTTTGTTTGTTTCCGTGCCCCACTTCCTCCTTATGTTCTTTCCCTTCCTCCTCTCCCCTGTGTCCTGATTTGGAAATGCTTTGGGCTTCAACGAATGGTGATGCATATGACCCCCACGGTCAGATTAACCACCGCTACCATTCATACAAATATTCGAACGAGCAAATAATTCTGCGATAAAATCAGAGAAAGAGACAGGTAGACTTTGCTCGCAGTGACCGTGTCACTCCGGTGAAGGATTTGAATATTGAAACAGCTGTGCCATGATAGTTTTTTTCTTTTGCTTCCTTTTACACTTGCTGTTTGCGGGCATAAATCGCCATGAATCGCAGTGTATGACCCAACAGGTATGAAAAATAATCAATCTCTCAGAACAAGTGCTCACTGGGTCTCTTGCCTGTAAAGACTGACTGTGTCGCAAACTCCATTTTGGTTTAATGAGTAACACGTCTCCATCTGGTGGCCAGTTGGGGCAACAACACCTGTCGCTTATTGTCTCTGTTAACACGGGGCTTAGGCTAATTTATTCATCATACAGCTTCCTGCCTCTTTACCTTAATTGAAACTCTTTCAGTCTGATGATATATTCTTAGCATATGGACAGCTGATATAGAGTTGCAAAAAAAAAATCACTGGAAAAAAAGAACCTTATAAATAATAAAGCCTACACGTACACATGCATTACTGTGACTGACCCTACTTAACAGAATCCAGTGCTTTTCTGCAGCTGCATCCAACTTCCAAATCAGCACGTATCTTATCTGATGCCTCATTTTGTTACGTTGCTGGCTGTTTTACATTTTTGACCATTTTTTTTTTTTTTTGTCTGAAAATGGTTTGCCCAAACCAGCCATATTATCTTTTTTTTCCTGATGTTTTTGCTTTAATTTCATGGAGCACACAGAGATGCATGAATTATATAAAAGGACATTCTTGAAATCGGACACTGTTTGAACAATGCGACCTGTTAATAAAAGGAGCAAACTCTCTCAGCCAACAGTGGATGACTGCATGAAGAAAATGACATGCATGTTTCTACCAATGACATGGAATACAGAAGGGTTTGCTACTTTATTACAGTTGATGATTACTTAACAACACATAGCAATAAAGGGAAATAAAAGTGTCCACTCTGGACCTCACTGCACTTGTGGTGGGTCTGTTTAGTAGATGAATGCTGCCCAATGTTCCTTTTCTTCTTGTCCAGCTGCTTTGGGGCCGGAGGGCGTAGCCTTACCCAGATTTTAATATCGGGGAACTCCTGATAGTACAAGTACACCTTCCCCCTTCTCCTAACCTCCTCTTCAACCACTTGTTTACACTCTGTTGTCTCTCTCGGATCTCCCTCTCCCTGTACCTTTCCCTCCCTCCCCCCTTCTTATTCATCATGCCCTTTCGTGCCTGGCCCTTACCCCGACCAATTGAAGGATGGATGAGGAAGACGGAGAGGACGAGTCGGGCGCCTCACGTGGCGGGGTGCACGATAACCTGTACCGCGTTCACATGCCCAGTCTCTACAGTTGTGGCTCCAGCTACGGTAGCGAAGCTAGCCTGCCCGCTACAGCCCACACTGTCAGCAATGCCCCCGTCACTGAATACATGTGAGTTAGCACCCACCGCTAGCTAGAGGCTAGCAGGATCATACACTGCCTGCCAATAGGTAGCTGATGCTTGCCCTCCCCCACACCATGTGATCTAGGCTAGAAGTGCAGCAGTGCTTACTGCTTGTGGTAATGATAAGTTAGAAAAGCTGTTAAATAGTTTTTTAAAATATGTATGGCTTGCATGTCGACTGCAACACACTGTCAGCGATATTTGTTACTCAGTGAGTTAGTACTTATCATCTTTGAGATGCTAAAAGAAAAACAGCTGCTTGCTGTATTAAAAAAATTCAGCTTTGCACTCGCATAGTTTAAGTTAATAATTGCACCATGCTTGCTGTTGGCACAGGACTGAATTGCTTGTTCATAATAGGAATTAGAGAAGATAAGTAAGCATATATCTCTGCACAATTAATAAACACAATGCAGTGTTTGCTGCAAAGGGAAGAATGATGGTTTTCAAGCCACAAAGAAACCAGAAAGTAAGACGTGCTAATTTGAGGTTTTTGGACCATCGAAGGACCACATTCACCATCCCTGTATGAGTCTATATTCCAAAGCATACCACAGGGTTTGGTTTGAGCTTTTCCTGAAAGTTAGATGGGAAGTCTCATCCAGTCATTACTTTCCTTTTAGCCATAGCTAAGCTGTCATTGCATAGGTACACAGTCTCATATGGTAGTTGAATCTGTTGAATATGACAAGCTCCAGATTGTCATCAATCCTGGAAAATAAGTTTCATAACATAGTTACAAGGTTTAGGAGCTGGTTTGGCAGTAATGCAAATCATATGTTTACAGTTAGATGAACAAAGCATGCAAATCCATCGTTATTAAACCACAGTACACTAAAAAACCCTAAAAACTGAGTGTCGCATGAGCGCTGGCTGGCTTTGATTATATAGAGCTAAATAGAAAAAATGTACAAGTGCAGCTTATCCATGCCGGGGTTGTTGGTTTCTGTACCCACGGTGTCCGCTTGCAGTAATAGAATAAACAGCCTCCTCAGCATTTAGCTCCCTAATAAATTTTGCTTGCACAGGACATTTACAGACTGTTATTAAGTTAAAAAATATTCTGTTGAATCCTTTAATAGTTGAAATGTTGGCCTGAAAAAACGATTGCTGCAGAGTTCTTTTAAATGTGGGCCTGAGGCTAATCTCCGGTGGCTATCCATGATGATAACAGTCCTATTTCACTGAGTCCCATTGTGAGATTCAATATTTTGCCTTTGTTCTGAAAGTATGTTAATTATGTTAGACTGTGGCCGAGGTGTTTTAAGCCCCTGTAGTACCAAGCTTACGTCCTACGTTGGCAATAATTATTGAGGTAATTTTTCAGAGGCCATATGTCAGAGTCATTGTGTTTCAGCGATGAGCAGATCCGCACATCATGAGCTCAGCAGCAGGGTGACGACATGCAGTAACCTCTTATTCTATAATGCAGGAGCCAGAACGCAAACTTTCAGAACCCTCGGTGTGAGAACACCCCCCTGATTGGCAGGGAGTCCCCTCCACCCTCTGTAAGTGCACACTTTCTAGAACACATTCTCCCACAGCTATCTTCCAATAGCCACAGTGCTGCTGGGACACATTTCAAATCCCACACAGTTGGCATATTATTCATTTAAGCGTAACGAGCAAAGAACGGTGTAAATTATTCACTATTTCAGATGTTTCATAGCGCGCTATGTGTGGATATTGGAAGGTAGCGCCACCCACCCACCCCAAATCCCTAAAACACTGCAAGTGTCCTCCGTGCTCACACTAGACCGTGATCACAGATCGCCTTCATGTAGGTCATTTTGGCAGCCTGGGAAAACTGGAAGCTTGAAAAAGAAGCCTGTCGTTATAGTAAGATCTGCACTTGCATCAAAAGAAGGGGGCAGACTGTTTCGATAAGCGCAACTGCCGGGTCATGTTTGGCTAAAGTTGTCTTCTATTTCTGATGTAAAACGTCTGGTTGGCGCTGGGTGATGTGCAGACCACATAGATTTTTTTTTTCTCCTCAAAGACTTTTTTTTTCAACCTCGAACTTTTTTTTTTTTGTAAGAAATGAAATGCTGACTGTTATGGCTTTTAAAAAAGTGCTGCTGGGCCTGTAGTTGTGGATTTCGTTCCATGCAGTATCACCTGTACACTTCTACATTACAATACTGTGGAGTGACAGCATTTATTGAACAAATCTGGTGTAATTACTTCAGGGCTCGGGTTGCATTCCTCGCTCGGTGCAACCTGACCCCGAACCCTTGCGGGTCAGAGCTCATATAGCTTATATTGCAATTCTAGCAAAACTTGAGCCCAAGCCTCTTAAAAGTTCCCGCTCCTCCTTCCCTCCCTTGTTCCCACACCGTGTCTATGTGTGCATCTTCTGGTCGAGGTGTATGTGTCCTGTGTTTCCCCCTCACCCTTCACCATTGCACAGCCACAGGAGCACTTATTCCCCCACCTCCACTGTTGAAACGTAGCAGCCAGCAAAACGGCCTGCCGCTCGCCACTCTTAAGACAGGGCCGATGGCTGGGCCGCCGTCCTGTGCACAGCTGCTCTTCTGTCTTCTGCAGCGATGTGGAAACCGCAGACCTCCGACTGTAACTACCTCGGTGCTCCCGAGAGACCACTAACTCATACCAGGCTAACCTACTACATCAGAAGTAGAGCAACTAACTACGAATGAACCACATCTGCTAATTTACAATAACATCATCCTGACCTAATCAGCTGTTACACAATGAATAACTGTTGTAATCAAACCCCGGCTGTCCAAATGACTGGTCACAGTATTTCAGCTGTACATGTGTGTTTGTGTTTGCCTTTCATATCGATCTATCTACAAGCATTAATCTTTGTTTGTCCGTCGTTTCCTTGTCTTCTTTTCATCCTCTTCTCCTTTCTCGTCATTTCCCACTCTCGTCCCTTTCTGCTTCTTCTTCTCTTCTTTTTTTGTATCCCCCGTCTCTTCAGTACACCTCCAGTATGAGAGCAAAATACCTGGCGACCAACCGACCAGACCAGAACCGACGCTCCGTTCCTAACGACCAACTGGATCCCGCTAGCCGGCCTCACCCCGCTGCCAGACCACAGTCCTCAGTCCACTAAGAAAGCACTTCAGCCACAACACTGCCTGAATCCAGTTCTCACAGCCAACAGCAAGATCCAACACGGCCCACAGCACCAGAGCTGGGTGCTTTTTTTCCCAGTTCTTTTTCCAGGTCCACTGAATTTAACCAACACTGACCGGTTCATCAGCAGAACTCATCAACCAGATACCACAGCACATGACTGCACTTTTAAAGCTCAACTTCTACTTCTTTCCTACATAAAACCAACATAACTGAAAAGGCAGAAGAGCACATCGTAGAAGATCAATGCTTCTGCTTCTCTTCTTTATGGACACACACACACATACACACGCCCAAGCTGCTTGATCCACCACTGCTGCGAAGCCATAGTTTCTTCCTCCCAACTTGCATCTGTCCACTGCCGTCCAGTGAAGGCATCCACGCTGCTCTCACTGCTCAACCGCCCCTGACACACTCACACACAGGCAAGCACACAAACACACACACACACACACACACTGTACAGAGCTGTAAATAGTGACCATGTGCTTTATTCTGAGTTCATGAAAAGTAGACTGTTCAATCCTTTACTGGTAACGTGGTGTGCTGTGTGTTTATCATGGAAATGTTTGCTGTATCTCTCATACAAACACACACACACATGCACACACAAGTAGGAAGATAGTCTAACCAAACACTCATTTGTGTAAATAATAAGCCAGTGAATCAGAAAGCCATGCTTAGATGAACTGTACCACCAGATCCCCATTCTCTCTTTAGCTTAACATTGTCGTCTAAGACTTGAATTGTAAGCTCAAAAAAAGAAAGAAAAAAAAGTGTGCCCGCGTGTCTTTTCCATACTTGTTAACGTGCGCATACGTTTCAGTTACGAGCCAGTAACCCTGTTGTGAAATGACTGCTTTTGAACTTTGGGAAAACGGAGTCTGAGACAACGGACATACGGAGGCTCAAACCTGTGCCAAAAAACTGAATAATTCAATGAGGGATGCCTGATTCTGCCCTCATTTCCTACTGCCTCCAGATATCTCGAGAAAGGACGGGGAAAAAAGAAACCTCACACGGAATCTTTTCCCTCCGTCTGTCAACGATAAGGGAAAGAGGAGAGACATTTGGAAAAGGGAAGGAGTGGACCGATAGTTGCAACTACACATTTGCCAGGTGCTATGTAAAGCGGTCGAGGATCCGGACTGAGGAGGGACAGAAATGTTTTTGTTACTTTTAATGCTTTTTTTCCTTTTCTTTTTTTTTAAATTCAGGGATTTGTTAAAGAAAAGCAGAGCGGCTTTCCGTGATTACTAAATGTAAATTGTGTCCCGAAGCCAGAAAAACTCCATTCCTGACTGGAAAAGATGTTACATCAAAGTTTGTTTTTATCATAAGCTGACATTGATGCTGTGATACTGTGACCAACTGTAGTATTCTGTTTCTTCCTGTGCTTTTATTTTGGTGACCTCAGATTTAACCTTTTAGCGCAGATATTGAATCTTTTATTTTCTTTCTTTCTTTTTCTACCCACAAGCACAAATTCTCTTCAAGGTGACTTTGTGAGATGGAGAAGTAAAACTCACTGCCTGGGTCACTGCCAGTGGCTTTTTCCCCTCCCACTCTGTGTACAGTATATAAAAAAATCCAAACACAGTAGTCGTGAACCCGCGTGTGTGTGACATCACTGCGACGTGATTGGCCGTTGCTCTATGTCACTGTTACTCTGTGTGAGTAGTGATTAAGTGACTGGCAAAGCAAGCAAAGGCTGGCCTATCTAGCCCGAGTCATTCCTATACTGACGTTGCACACACGTTAATGGACACACACATACACACTTTGTGCTTTACTGACACACACCTTCCATACATACTGCAGTATTCTTTAAAGCCCATCTTTCCCTACTTTTATCCTGTTTACATTCATATCTAGAGCGATAGTAGCAGCACGTCCCCCTCCACCATGCTGATAACCCCGTGCATTATGGGTGATGTAGTAGGTAGTAACCGAATTAAAGAGAAACCCCCAATTCTGTAGTCGACCACCCTGAACTCCCGTACGCTGTTGCACCACCCGATCCTGTACAGCATTTTAATACTGTCTTATTAATCGATGACCACTTCTCGTATTAGCGAGACAATCTTACATGTGTGATTTTACTAGGAAGGAAACGTCCATGTTATGGTAACAATGCTACCTATGGTCTAGTACTTTTACAATGTTTTATTGCACCATGGATGCAAACAGTGTTAAGATCTGTGGGACTAGTCACTGATTAATGGCCTTTCATAATGTTTTTAAACTCTTACAGCACTCTTCATATCACGACATGTCTTCTTCTTCTTCTTTTTTCTTTTTTTAAGTGTTTCGCTGTCTTGTAAAAATCAGACTTTAAAGATAAAATAATAGCTAGCTGTTTTGTAGGATAATAAAGGCAAGAGCAGCGTTTTTCCTCTCTTATTAATGGTGAATGACTCTCTGTCTTGCAACTGTTTTAATAAGACTATTACAGTGTCGTCCGCGCACCTGACGCAGTGCTGCGTTTGAAGTTCTGTGCCAGTGCTGTCTGTGATTTGGCTGCTCTGGTACAGTATGTCGTGACGGGTGGGAAGAGCCCAGTAAGAGTCAGTAACGAGTGGGCGCTTCTCCGTGTGGTAATTACAGGACTTCAAATGCACGACTGTTCAGATGTGACAGACAAACAATGTTTTCTATGGCTGTTTTTATTTTCTGATGGTTTAACTAAGATATTAATGATATACATGTCAAAACTGTGGTAATGATATCATTCAGCCTGGAATAAATGTTTTAAAAAAAGAAATTAAAGCAACTTTAACGTACTGATGAAGACCGTTGCGTCTGTTTTTTTTTCTTCTTATCACCCTGTTCCCTGAAGGTTTTACCAGGTTTAACACAGATTTAACAAGGTGCTGCAAACATTGACATGACAACATTACACAGTTGCTGCAAATTTCTCTGCTGCACATCCAGGATGGAAATCTGTTCCACCACATCGTAAAGCTGCTCTACTGGACTGAGACTGCTGACTGCAGAGGCCATTTGAGTGCAGTGAACTTGTCGTTATGTGCGAGAAACCATTTTGAGATCATGTGAGCTTTGTGACGTGGGTTGCTTTCATGTTTTTTTCCACACTATATGTCTCAACTTCCTGTTCTTATCTGACAGGAGTGGTGTGGTCTTCTGCCGATGCAGAGATGCTCTTCTGCATACCTGGTTATTTGCGTTACTGTTGCTATTATCAGCTCAAAGCTTTAGCCATTCTCCTCTGCCCTCTGGCATTAACAAGGCGTTTCCACCCAGAGAAATACCACTCACTGAATATTTTCTCTCTTTAGGACCATTCTTAATAAACCCTACAGATGGTGGTTTGGGAAAATTCAAATCGATCATCAGTTTCTGAAATTCTCAAAGCAGTCCATCTGCTACATTCAAAGTCACTTAAATCACCTTTCTTCCCCATCCCAAGTTTGAACAATCTTAGTGCCTTAATGGATTGATTTGCTGTCATTTCCTTGACTGATTAGAGGTTCGCACTGACGACCAGCTGAACAAGTTTATCTAATAAAGTGGCGGATGAGCGTCTTTACTGTAAGCTGATATTGCAAATGTTTTAAAAGTGCTGGAATCTCTTCAGTGACACTGAAATATTGGTTTTTACAGCCATTTAATTTGGCAGACTCCATCATTTCATTATTGATGTGATGCTATTTACCAGCATCTTCTCCTGCACCATCAAAATGAATCAAATCACATCAAGAGGAAAATAAAAGCGACTGGACCGATGTCAATGAACAGAGAGAGCTACTTCCATTAATCTTGACAGTGTAGATATTACAATAATGAGTGCAGCTGATGTGAAGCTTGAATCTCTATAGAGCTACATTTGCATGGCGAATGATTTGTTTGGTCGCTCTATGACCTCTAGATTCTTACAGATTAAGAGCAGCAGTTTTTACTGATGATTAATGAAACCTAGGAGAATAGTATAAGATAAATTTAGCCTAGTATATTAATAAACAGCAAGTTTACGCCTCAATAAGAGGACTGTCATGGCCACTTCTCCACCTAGTGGTTGATAGAGCGTTTTCAGACTTGTGCGCAGAAGTAGCAGCAAGCACGATTCATGCATTCATGAGACTCCAGACGATGCAGATTACTTTGAGCAGGAAGCAGAGACTCTAACAATATCATTGCTACATTTACAAGTTCAGTGTTTTGAGAGAAGTGGCACTGAGAATCTACCATCCATAATAAAATATGCCATGTACAGTTTAGACATACCAAACAGGCCGCACGTTTAACGCTTTAGACAAAATTCATGAGAGGACAAAACTTTCGGCTTACTTTTTATTTTGCAATAATGTCTGGATTCTGGATTAAATAAGGGGAATGATTACTTAATAAGCAGCGCAATTTAATTTGTAATTGCGTTGTTTAAAATGTAATCTTGAGAAAGACAAATTTTGGATCTCACAGGCTTGATGGTGGAGCTAAAACCTACAGTGTTAGGCGGATAAAAAGACGTCTGACCTTGAAATGCAGCGCAGTTACACATACAGCCAGCAGGTGTCGCTGTCCACTCAGATGAGTGTGAAAGCCCAAAGTGATTTTTATTCACTGGCTAAGTTTTCCTCATGGTTAACACAGCCTGACACCGGTGGGTTCACAGCGGGAGAGGGCACACACACACACACACACACCTAATCTTTGGGTTCTGCCTTTATCTCTTGCAGGCCCTTCTGCGTGGCTTGATCAGATAAGAGGACTGTTAGTGTGAATGTGTGAGGGAAATGTCAGAGGGTTATGAGTGCGGAGGAGAAGTCCCGCCAGACAGAAACCCATAGATTCATGAACAAGTAAAAAAAGGTGAAAGGTCAGAGTGCATTTTTCTTCATAGCTCAAAGACTTCAAACAAACGGCAGATTTCTTTTCATGTAAGAAGTGAGAGTGTATTTGCATGTGCAATTTTTATCACTCCAACTTGTTTGTGATTGGAGAATTCGACAATAAGCAGTTGAGTAAAGAGAACAAACAGCTGATTGATAAAACACTTTAATTATAACCATACAGTCCAGATACTGGAGAGAGCCTTTCTGCTTCAGGAGCAACAGTTATTATATATACACACACACACACATTCACGTGGGGAGGGGCAGGGATGGACTTTTAATTGCACAAACTTCCTTCAACACACAGAAAGACATCAAGACGACTCAACATGAGTCAATGCTCAAAAACAAAAACATTTTCGAAGCAGTGCAGTCATGTTCCTTCCATTTGCATCAATAACAACCTTTACAAAGAAGTTTTTGTAAAGGACAGTTTGACATTTTGGGGAATCTGATTGTTTTCTTGGAGAATTAAATGAGAAGACTGACATTACATCATACGACAGAGTAGCCAGGCACAAACAAGAGAAGAAAGTCATTTCCCCAAAATGTCAGACTGTTCCTTTTAGTCTTTTAATCAAATGACAAACTGCAAACAGCAAAAATAAGAGAAAAACGTGAAGTTCTAAAATATATACACCCAAGAATGGGGTTTATATTGAACACTGATGTTAAAAAAAACAAAACAAAAAACCCCCACATTGTTTTAACACTATGGACACGTGGGTTTTTTTTTTCCTTCATGATGGGGAAATGCAGTGATATACATTCTCTGCTGTAAAAAAATCTCTTGAAAGAAGAGAGAGGATGCTCAAAGGAAAGCAGGACAGGCTCCACTATGCAGCAGTTTAGATCCAAGTGGGGCCAATTCTATAAAAGTCCTAATGGAGCGGCGCTACTGGTACTGAGCATCTCTCTACTTTCAGACTGTGTCATATCTTGCACACAAACTCCAGATAACACTGGTGAAATCAGATCGACACATTGTCCAAATTTGCCCTTTCTCGTGTAGCACGCAGCAGGAGAAAATACGCCTCAGAGCGTGCAGAAGGCATGACTCATCGTGACTTCAATAGACTAATACCTACTCGGCATTCTTCCACAGGCGCAATCACACATCACGCAGACTCTCGTGTTCGTGAACCGGCATGCTAAGGATCAGTCGATCTGACTGCAGCTTCCCTGGGTTATGTCGGCAAAAGTTCAGGCCTTGAGGTGCGTGCCTGAATCATCGCTCCAGGCCTGATAAACTTGAAACTAAAATAGCTGAGAGTTTGCTATGAGTAAGCTGGCGTTGGCATTCCCTGTTCTCAGAGGATGAATGCGATCTTATGATCATAAAATGTGTTATAAATCCATGTAGTCAGACCAACATACAGACTTTAAAAAGCCCTGCTTGAAGGAGAAAAACATCTTTGACTTTGACATTTTGAAGGCCTTTTGCATTACTGCAGAGTCAGATAAATAAAATTCATACTGTCGGGGTCAGCATTGCGAGTATGAAGGCACAATAAGCCGTCAGTTAGCACAGCTTGGCAAGAAAAAAAGAAAAAAAAGAAAAAAAAAGCCAATCTCCATCAGTTTTCCACGTAAAAGTCACGTGACTTTTACACACTGGGTCAGAGTTAAAGTGTCCTAAAAAGCCTGTCTTCTAGTTGAGTTGTAGAGAGGCAAACACAAATCTCCCAACTGCCTCGAGACATTCTCCGGAGTCGGGAGCGGCGGGACTCGGCAGATATTTACGTTTTCTCCCCCATCGGTCCATCCCTTCCTCCCTCTTTTGTCTCTAGATGGGTGTTAAAGTCGCCAGGGGCCGGGGCACCAAGGAGTGTCTGGGTACAGCAGACAATGGACAGACCTAAATCTGAGAGAGAGGGGGGAAATGAGTGTGACAATGCCTGGAAGCTGCCAACTGGGGATTTCAAAATAAGGCCGTGGATACAATCAGTCACACACACACGCACACAGACAGACAGAGGACAAAGCCAGGAAACTTGTAGTAAAACATGCACCACAAGTGCTTACATAAAGCTTACTACACATGTATGAAAACTATATTTGAAAGCAGACTGCCAAAGCAGCTGTGGGATTACGATGAATAGATTTTAAAAAATAAATGAAAAAAATAAAGAATAAAATAAACTTTTACAGGCTTTACTGATTTTCTATTCCCCTCCATTAGCCGCCAGTGGCTCACAGCGAGCTTATCTCATTACCTCCCACCATCTAGGCACACTGCCATCAGCGCCTGCTAACAAAGTAGATAAATAAAGAGAATTACCTCAATTCAATACACAACAATATAATTACTGGCCAAAGAGCCAAGGGAGGGGGGAAAGAAGGGAAGGAATCCCCTTAATGTGAGGAAGCGTGTTCTCCAGCCTTTTGTTTTGCTTTGCTTGGATGTGCTACGGTCCTTGAACTGTAAATAATCACAGTGAAGGTGACCTTTTGATTTTTTACTGACTATTTTAGAGATCAAACAATTACACCGTTGTGTCCTGTGCTCAACATTACATAAGGAAACAAACTAAACTACCAACGCCGTTGTCAATCACTTCCAGGGCCAAGTGTAAAGTATGGTAGAGAGGGATTGGAGTTGGGCTTGGCCAAGCCTTTCCAGTGAAAGGAACTCTTAATGCTTCAACATACCAAGAGAGTTTTGGATAATTTCGTGCTCCCAACTTTGTGGGAACCGTTTGGGGATGACCCCTAACATGACTGCGCACCAGTATACAAAACGAGATGTGGATGAGTGAGGTTGGTGTGGAAGGACTTGACTGGCCTGCACAGAGTTCTGACCATAACCTAATAAAACACTTCTGGGATAAAATGGATGCGAGCCAGGCCTCATCCAACATCAGGATCTGACCTCACAAATGAGATTCTGGAAGAATGATCAAAGATTCCCATAAACGCACTCTTATGCTTTGCGAAA